GATGAAAAGATTGATCGATGGATGGATAGATGGATGGATTGAATAGATGAAAAGATTGATGGATGAATGGATACATGTATATTTCATATCACTCCCTGGACCACGAGGTGAGAGGCGAGCGGTAAACCACTACGCCACCCAAATGGTTGGTTGGATGGAAGGATGAGGGGAAGGATCGATTACTTATGAAGGGTGAAGTAAAGGATGGAAGAGCGGATGGATGGATGAGCAGATGCCTATGAAATGGACCAAGTGGGTCCATGCAACACTTTTCGGGGACGTCAGATTCACATTTGTTCAAAAGTTTCCAGCAAAGCCATAGAAATGACAAATGGTTTTGACAAGAAAAAGAAAGAAAGAGATAAGAAGCAAAAAAGAAAAAAAGAAAAAGCAAAACAAAAGCACACTCGTACTCATGTCATGTTAAAAAGCTGACTAAAACTGTTGCTATAAAGCTCTTCTATCTACAGTATTACTAATAAAGCTGATAAACATCCAGTTAATCTAGTCTAATCACACTCCTTATCTCTTCTGTTGAAAAAGCATTAACGTTATCCAGGCAAATGGGATTACAGCCTTTTAAAATAACACCATTGGTATACTGATGGCCCACACGAATCAGATGTTTCAAGATGCGCTATTCTTTTCGGCAAGCTTAGGGACGAAGGAATGTGAACAAATCTATACTATGTTTTAGTTTCCAAATGAATGAAAGATGATTTGATTTAACACGTTCTAAAGTATAATGTCCGATTCCTTTCCGTTAAAAAGACATGCAGTGCCATGGCGGAAACAAACTGCTTATTACAAAACTCGYGAAGTTTTTGAAAGACGGAAGTTAAACTAAACTTTATATACATAAACATTATTTCCGTAGTCAATATTAAAAGGTGGAAAAGTGCAAAATAATTCATAAAGTTTTAATTGAAAAGCTTGCAAAATATATTAATTCTGAACGTTTYCTTGTTAGTTGCAGTAATCCAGAGATTTAGTAGTAAATCATATAAGCAACGAAAGGTCATATCTCTTACACGTTGAAGAGCATCAGTAAATTTTATCTGGCATTTCTGCCAGACATCAGTACTGACATCAGACTTACCTTAATCGCAGGACACTGAGGTGATAGCCATAGATTCTTGAACTGGTGACCTAAGATAGATAAATGCATAACAAAATTAAACGCTGACAACACTTTTAGTAGGGGATGATTTAATAGTTCCCAGAACATCCATGATGAGAGTTATATGACAAATCGACTAACTTGAATGTCAGGTTTAAATACCCGAGAAAAAATACAGAATTACATGACGAAGGGCRGGCAAAGAAGGGCACGACTTCAGTATAACCACATAGTTGTATATTAAACAAACTTTCGTGAAATGATTTTGTGTTCATTACAGAAATGAAAAACGACATAAAAAGTATTTATAGTAGGTGGTTTTTTTGAACTTTCCTCAGAAATGCCTGATCGTAATGTTGGTCCAAAACTTAGGGATGAATAATGCTACCATAATTTGTGAGTGTGCCATATTGCATATGGAATTACAAGGTAAAAATAAAGGGAAGGAAAAAAGATAAATAAAAAGAAAATTATATGATAAAAAAGAAAAACGAAAGAAAGAAAGAATTCAAGAAAGAAGGGAAAAAGCATGCAGGCAAGTCACAGGTGTATGCAAGTTTTTTATACTATTTTTTTTACAGCACTACTTCTTCGAAACCCATATGCATGATATACTGTATATGGGCCCTGATCGATTACCATAAACACAATCCTAGCTCTAGACGATATGCCTTTCTCACTACCCGCAACGAAGGCATTGTTAATGGCCTACAAAATTACTCCCACAGCTACTTCTATTTACTTCATCAATCTACTGTATACCCAGAGAAGTTGTTGYGAAGCGTTAATAAAAAATGGAACAATTCCAATGTTTTGATGGAATAACGTAAGGCATTGCGATAAACAGTGTGATTAACCAGGAAACGAGTGTCATTTGTATGACAAAGTCGGTCAAAATAGGAACAGAAAACGAAAGCCAGACTTATCGGAATAATCTTATTGCCATGGAACTACACTTCACTGAACATCTGACGTTCAAGGGTTAGCATGAGAGATAGGTGATGGGGTTTATCAACGGACGGTTTTCAACCCTTTTGCAAAGAGCCACCTTAGCCAGAAACTCACCTCCACATTTACCAACAATGAGAATGAAAAAAAACGAGAATATAATCATCGCGTCATAGAGGTAGAACATGGGTACTTCTTCGAAGCCCATGCGATATACTGTATATGGGTCCTGATCGATCACCACTAAACACAATCCTAGCTCTTGATGATATGCCTAGCTCTTGATGATATGCCTTCCTCACTACCCCTACAAAATTACTCCAACAGCTACTTCTATGTACGTCATCTGTCTATTGTATACCCAGAGACGTTGTTGTAAAGCGTTAATAAAAATGGGACAATTCCAATGTTTTGATGGAATAACTTAAGGCATTGCGATAAATAGTGTGATTAACCAGGAAACGAGTGTCATTTGTTTGACGAAAGACCTTCGGACAAAATACAACATATATTGTCAAAATAGGAACAGAAAACGAAAAACAGACGTATTAGAATAACGTATTGCAATGGAACTACACTTCACTGAACATCTGACGTCCAAGGGTGAGCATAAGAGATAGGTGATGGGATCTATCAACAGAAGTTGTAGAACAAATTTAGTAATGTGAGGGCCAATAGGCTTGCTCCGTTAAACCAATCATAACCTTGCCACTGTCTTCACCAATCACATGGATAGATAGTAAGCTAAAAATTCCCAACATTACCACTCTAACTCTTATTTATAGAGCCAAAGTAGGTATATTTCTCAGACGTGGTAGTATTTGCATAAAGGAACGACACGGAGACAAGTGACTCAGTCAAACATGTGCTGGGAAAGGATATTTTGAGCACGTCGATAAAGAGGTATGTAGTAATTATGAAATTTCAAATCTTATTTTGTTATAGACTAAGCTCAAGATGATATCCTTAGGCAAACGTGCGACACCAGTGCGTGTAGACAAAAACATTGAATGACATTTGCTTCATTTTTTAGAGAGGCTTAATAAAGTGTCGTTGAACGCGACACAAGAAGTCAAAACAAATCAGATAAAGAACGCCAAGAGTCTGCTTCATAGAATAAAAAAACTGTCTAAGAAAACCAGTTTTAAATGCACTAGACATGAAAATATATTCTATAATCATTAGTCTTAGTATTTCTTAAACTGTAAAGATCATATACCTATACTTCAGAAGGTATTGTACTCTATAATATCGCACGCTGAATGTTGGGTAGCTCTCGCGTAACTAGGGACTGATGAMTGTGATAGTTTTACTATAAAAGTAAAATAGACTAATATACGACATATAACATGCTTTGTGCAACAAGCATATGATTTCTAATTCAATTTATCAACGACCGATATTATGACTTATATATGAAGACAGAAGTTTAAACTAAAGAAATGTGACGTACCTACATAAACAAACTTTATTATCGTGTCGGTCTTCGTACCGTTAAAGTGCATGAAAAATAAACGTAACTTTTGTGACAAACGTAGYCCATGGCATTCGTTGTACATGACATCAATAATTTCAAAATATTTTTAAAAGCTCTATACATTTTCTTTGGTTTCGCATTACGCATACCATGATATAGCTTATGCTAGCATAGTACATACAAAGTCGATATTTCAGGAAAACAACCTAATTTCTACATGACTGAATATTTTGAAAATGGGAACTGTTATCACCTTTTCTCATACGGTAACTTTGGAATATGATATTCCGTGCAAATCGATATTCTTATCAAGGAATGGCACAGCATTAACAGAGTATTTTGAAGAGATATTTAGCTTAGCATAGTTTTCTCTGCGTGAAACATGCGAAAAGTCCCTTTTTTTCATACAGACATTTCCGCATCGGTCCCTGTTTTTTTTATTGCCCACTGTTTTGACGGTTAATTGAAAAATGAAAAACAGAAATCTGTCTCGATTTAGATAACACTTTTCTGTATACTTGACTCTGTTATTTTAACATAGCGTTCTGATTTAGTTTCATTCTTCRTTAAGAGGAAAAATAAAATTCCATCTAATATAATCTGGACAAACATTGAGGCAAACACGTACGGGCTCGTTGGCTTGATCAATGAACAGTATTCTTCCCAACAGTCAATATCAATCAGACGTTAATAATGAATACAATCGCGAGATAGCGATAGAAAATTAAATTTTAAGGAGTGTTTGGGAAGTTTTCAGTTTTCTGTCGTTCCAGGGAYTCCGGAAGTTCCCTAACTCAATCTTCCTGGAAAGCTTTATGGCTTTGTTTTTATTTAAATGTCATTCCTATTATCGCCGCTTRAAGTTAGCTCTCTTTAACAAATGATTATGGCTTAACTAGTCAGTTTTGAAGTGAGGAAGTAAAGTTAAGAGAAAAGCAAAGAACGGGAAAGAAAAGGAGCCTGAGAATGAAAACAAGGGGAAACGATGACAAAAAGGAAAATGCAAGGCAAGGCAGGAAAAACTGAAAGGGAAGGGAATGAAAGTGGAAGAAAGGAAAAAAGGAAAGAACAAAATGGAAGGAAGATAAAAGAAACGAAAATAAAAATAAAAATAAGAGAAAATGAATTAAGGGGAATAAGAACTAAAGGAAATGGAAAGGAAAGTTAAATGGAAAAAAGGAAAATAAAAAGGAAAATAATGCAAAGGAAAGGAAAGGAATTGAAGGGAAAGAAAATAACACTATTTTTTGGGTGAGTATGTAATCGACTTTGGAATCGACTATTCCGGAAAACCATGTGAATTCCAAGAACATTTTACGCAGTCCGGAAATCGTCGACCCCTTTCTTTAGCAAGGTTATCTAGTAGTAAGTAAATGAAAACATTTGCATAGATTAGGGGTTTAAAGACTATCAGTCCAAGTAGCCGAAACTAGTCTGTGTAGCTCATACGCGATAATTWGTGAACAACATGAATCCTAAAGTAAATCTTAGTAGCATTCCGCATTTAATCATGAGGTGCACAGATTATCCAAGCTAGCTTAGGTTTTGGCCTATGATGAGTTTTGATTCCGCTGAGGTATATTCATAGTAAGAGGTATAGCATATAGGTTTTACACAAAGAGAAACAGGGATTGCTTGAGGAATGGAGTTCCATAAGATTACTGCGTGCGATAACGTTCATAGCGGCGCCAAAGGAGAGCCTCTTTGGCATCATTTCCCATTCAATGTTCTGTTACACAGGCATCAGGCCCGTCGCTAGGACCTTTAAAGGGGAGGTTCGTTTTCCTTCCAATCTTTGTTATGCCATTTCTTGAAAAACTAAAATGGTGYTCATTATTTCGTACCCCTACAAAGGTGGAGGTGGGACCGGGCGTTGGGAGTTCGTTCGAACCATCGAACAACCCCTAGCGACGGGCCTGGGCATGACGGYAATGGTTGAATGATTTAAAGATGCAAATTCGAATTTTTCTTAGGAAGACGAAAATGATTACTCATCATACTCATAATTACTGAGCAGCGTTCGAGGACGAAGGATAGAGGTCTGAACATATACCAAATCAAAACGAAATGACATAAACCTAACTTCTTCATTGTTGGTCTTCTTTACAGACTATGTAGTGAAGTGCAGCTGTTTGGGCTTCCTGTTTCTACACAAAATTGAGATCTTTAACAAGACTTAGCTCATTCTTCAATAGGTAAACGATGTTCCATGATTTACTTTAAACAGGAGCAGCTACGAGTTCAAAAATGGCAAAAAAGTAAGCCGCTAGAACGGGTTGAATACACCTGGTTATTACCGAACCTGCTATGACTGGTTCAGCTTCAACCAGTTAGAACGGCTTCTGGATATACCAAAAGTACAAGTATTATACAACGGTTGACTAACCCGTTACAGCCGACTGTAACGGAGCTGAATCCGGTCGTAGCGAGTTCGACTGTAACGGGTTAGTCAACCGTTGTAGCGGATTCATCGCCAAGTATAATACTTGTACTTTTGGTATATTCAGAAGCCGTTCTAACGGGTTGAAGCTGAACCAGTCGTAGCAGGTTCGGTAATAACCAGTTGTAATGGGTTTATTTAACCCGTTCTGGCGGCTTACTTTTTTTGCCATTTTTGTGGTGCTACTGTACTGTCATGCACTCGATGATGATTTTATTACATTATAGTTTTCTCAGATTGGTGACATTCAACTGCTACTGTTGGCTTCATCAAAAGAATCAAAACCAATGTCTTTGTTAGGTTTCAAAGTCATTGCTGGATTYATTCTCCTATCTATGTTTGGCACGACGATTACGGATAACTGCAAATCTACTAGCGAAATTAAAGTCTGTAAAGGTGATTCGAAAGTTCTTACACCCAGTGCCAATTGTAATATAAATAATATAGACAAGGACACAAGTATCAAGTTAAAAAATTCAAGAACTGGACATAAATGGGTAAAGGTTGACATGACTCATGATGTGAATAAGTATGAGAGAAACAGCACACTGGTCGAGGTGAAAAAYATAGGAGAAAATGACACTGGCTTATACAGATACAGAATTGCGAAGTCTGCTGAAAAATGTTGCGTATCACTAGCAATCATATGCGAATACCTCGTAGTACCATCTGGATCTAGTGTTAATCTAATTTGCAAGGTCATAGAAGATGGGACAGAGCTACGAAAAGGYCTTTTAAAAATGAAATGGAAATTTAAAAACGAATCTGTGGACTTAACATATAGCAACGGGACAAATGTGTTTCTTGAACAATTAAAGAAAATCAATTCTGGAAACTACACATGCCGTGGAGAGAAAGAAAAATATGTATTGGGATCAAGTCGATGGAAGGTTTATACATTCGTTCTCGAAGTATACGATCGTGAGCCCCAATTGATTGCGACCACCAAAGAAACATCGCAGGAGAAGCAAACTTCGCGATTTTCCCTGCCTACAGTTGTTAGTGTACCAGATTGCATGACGAGGAAGGAAACAACACCTACGTCTACTGTGCACACGGATACGACAAAACAGAAAACAACTGTAAGTAATCACTTTTTACATATAATTGTTTTAAGTTCCTCTTTGCGTCCCCCGGCCAATTGCTTTTCCTTGAGACCTGTATATCACGGGCCGTTCTCATACTTAGGCAAATTAGTGTCTCCCAGTGAACGAGTGCGACTTTGTGCAATTTTAAGTAACTGTGTCGGGACACTGATATGATTACTCAAATAATCCCAATTAAACTGACTCAACGATTGTTTTATTGAACAAAGAGGGCCACAGGGTCATCGGTTTAATTCCTAAAATGTTAAGTGCTACCCTCTTAAAATAAAGTCTATTTTATTGTATTGTATTGTATTGTAAAGAAGAATGTGCCGAATTCCACAAAAGTGAAGCCAAAGAAAACACCAGATACAAGGTCAAAGACAGAAGAAACTCTGGTYCCGTCCACAAAAGAAGTCATTGCTGTTGTGTTCAAAAAGAGGGGAGAAAAAGACAACAGACCAAGTAGCGTTGGTACGAAAGCAAATTGGRGATTTTTTGCTTTGGTATTGTGTCAGTTATATATTTATGGGATATATACTTCGATTGCTTGTTAACCATATGCCTTAACTGAGATAGCGACTCTGGTGGATTCTGGTGGCGGCAGCCAAKATCCGTGGATTCCGTAGTACCGATTCTCTCGCAAAGTAGTAATTGCTGAAATATTAGATYAGTAGGTTTTAGAAAAAAAACTTTGAACATAATTGCATAGGATACGCCTATGAAAATCATCTTTAATAATCTCTGATTAAATCTTAATGATCGAGCTTGGATTTCTTATGARTTACATGCCGTATCTACACAGACCATCATGACTGAAATAGAATAACAAATGGTAAAAAAACGTACACAAAGATTTACATACTATGATTGCAAAGAAATATGATATCCTTTTAGTTTTAAGACAAAATGTAGCACATGTCCAAACTATAACATATCAAGGCTCGACTAAAATATGAGTCTACCAAATATATAGCCTGCGACACATCAGGAATTTTCTTCAGACTCCGAAAGAAAAAGGCCGGATGGAACTAAGGCCCCGTYCACAYGTGTCCGGAAATTTTTGTGTCCGTATCCGCAAATTTTAAGAAAACATATACGTGTGGACGGTGAAAACGATTCGAAAACGATTMGAATACGCTGCGTGTGGACGCAAACATTTTCGTATCCGCAAAAAATAATTTGCGGATACAAAAATTTCCGGATACGTGTGGACGGGGCCTAAGGCTACCTAATATAAAGCTCAGAGGATAACCGGAATATACCCATAGTATTTCTGGCCACAGTTCTTCATTCACGCGAATTCAAATTTTAAGCAACAACGACAACAACAACAAAAATAAAATAAAATAAAATCGAAACTGATTATGAATTGTGAATATTAAAAATTAAATTCGTAGCGATGTTAAAAACAATTAGCTATTTGTTTATACTTTTACTGAGACATATTCCATGCTGTTCGTTTTATATTATCTCAACATTCATGAACATTCTGGCTTTATTTCCCGTCGAGTTCAGTGAGACGCTTGCAAATTTAGTTAATAAGTGCRCATATTATGAATAAAAGGGTCTACTGCTGTTTATTAATAATAAAAAWTWTTTAATCAGGATACAAACGTCACTAAAAGTGATTTACAGTATGGTCACTCCTGCATWAAAAAAAAAAAAAAAATTCTTGATTGCCTATAGTTTTTGTATATTTGAAAAAAATATTCTTGATTGCCTATAGTTTTTTTTATATTTGAAAAAAAATATTCTTGATTATCTTTCCCGTCGAGTTTAGTGAGCCGACGCTTGCAACTTTAGTTAACGCGTGCGCATCTTATGAATATTAAGAATAATAAATCTTTAATCAGGATACAAACGTCACTGTGATTTAAAAGTGATTTACAGTATGGTCACTCCTGCATAAAAAAAAGTTTTTTGTTAAAGTTTTTTTTATATTTAAAAAATATATTGATTATCTTTACGTAGTAGATGCTCTATCAGTGACATGTATATAGATAAAAGCTTCGCGAGATATAAAAATACATTGCTTTAAGAAGTGTTTGTATTATTAATTTTTGTTTCTGACCAGCATCGAAGTATTTGTACCACATACACTACAGTATACTGGTTTTTTGCACAGACAGCCTAAGCTCTGCTTTCTGACAGGCATGGAGCACAGGTAGCCCAACCTTGKTTTCTGTGGTGTMATGTTATTAAGGAAATGTATGGGGATTCATCAAAAATTTCAATAAAGGAARGAAGTAAGGAAGGAAGGTTCTTTATTTTATCACGGTAAAAACATCAGTCGGTTACCTAAAAATATTTAAAAGYAAAGATTTACAATTAAAAAGCTAGTTACTGTTTTACATGTTTGCCGTGGAGCCCTTAGTTACAACTTTTCTTACTGTACAAACTATCAATTTCCTTTTTAAATTTTCGTACTGATTTGACCTCTTTTATATTTAATGGTAGGTCATTCCACAATTTTGCCCCACTATAGCTGTATGATCGTTTTAGATATTTAGTGTGTGGCTTAGGTATTGACAGTTTATGATCATGATTTCGAAGGTTGTATTAAATATGGTAGTCGGAGAAAAGGTTTTGTAAGTAAACTGGTGTACGTCCCTGCATCGTCTTAAACATTAGTTTAATAAAATCATTGAAACGTRAAATAAAGCCTCAAAATTTTACYTACTACGAAMTTTCACTTTCATTGATTTTATTKAAATTTTTGATGGATCCCCATACATTTACTTATRACATGCMACCACAGAAACCAAGCTTGGGCTACCTGTGCATGGAGTGGAAATATCACAGCTGGGCCACTTTTCTATAGCAAAATATCTTATYATGCTGCTAATTTTAGTATACGAACGTTTTATCSCCAAACATTCTTAGCTCCATTATGTTCAGCATCATTTACGTTCATCACGAGTTCGTCCAAGGAAATAAATGATTATAGTGGTAAGAGAATCGAAAACCATCCCAATCGGTTGTAAGCTATTGCATGAACATCTATGCCAATCGACACTAATCTATTCCATTTGACATCAATAGTGTCGGCCGCTCATAAAGAACGACTACGGTTGACAYCAAGGTTCACAGGCAGCCCAAACAAGGTTCCTGTATATGGTTTATAAGGGAATGTATGGAAGTTATGATGAAGTTATATAGGATAAAATGTTTCACTCAACAATTTGCTTTAAAACTTGCTGCAATAGTTGCTTGAACCGTGTTTAGTTTTCTGGTGAAGTTTTCAGAGCGAATTTTGAAAACAAAAAACAAAAAACAACAAAAAAAACAAAAAAACAAAAAAAAAAAAAAAAACAACTACAGTCAACGGCCTCAGATCGAACCGTGTTCGGGCGGCCAGTGCAAGGTTTAATCTTTTCACTTCATGCTTGACAAAAATACAGCTGTGGGCTGCCTGTGCCCTTTAGAGGTAAAGGAAGTCGATCAATCCTGGGTGCGGCAAGGAGCTAACATCTTTCGCTTCATGCTTGACAAAAATACAGCTGTGGACTTCCTGTGCTCTTTAGAGGTTAACGGAAGTCGATCAACCCTGGGTAGGGCAAGGGACCAGCAACAAATGGCRTCACGCTTCCGGACTTTCCAAGAAACACGCGTCTCGAGTAATAAGCTAAAAGAGGATCTCAGCATTGACAAAGCTGCAGAAAACAGCAGACCGGTTAATCATCCTTCCACCTWCGAGGTCAGAGTACAGAATTCGAGGAAAACAACAAAGCACTGTGTAATTAAGAAGACAAACTTAATTCTAGTGCTGGGAGTAATCGCATACAGCAGTATATGTTTTATAAATTTTGGGCAATTTTATGGTATATACTTATTAATGAAAGCAAGAAATATGAAGATATTGACGTTTGCCTTGTCAATCCTCATTCCAGTATTGGGGACCCAAAGCTCATCAAGTCAACAATGCCAGATAAAATGGTTTACTGATATTAGTACCAAAACCAGAAATGCAACAAGTAGCAGCAAGGACTTAAAATTATATAGACTTTTTGTAAAGCATGGCAATAATCCATGTATATAGCGCGGAATATCGTCGAAGTTATCCAAGCGTGGGCGGGAATAGTTTGAACAGCACTATTAAAGTACTCAGTTGCCAAGGGTATTCCCGGCAAAGTCAGTCATCATGTGATGGGAACTAGTCATGCTGATGTATATACAGGCTTGAGTATCGTGAGCTACTGATTTTGCAGACCATCGACAACCAACATAGCTCTTGATCTAAGGTGAGTGAAATTTTGGATAATTCCATATTGCCACTTGCAAGTCCATCAGATAACTTGTCATGTGCATAACTATTCGTAACCTCTTATCTGCAACGCAACGAAGGAAATGCAATTTCCTCCGTTTAAGAATCCATTTCCCGTTAAAAATATGCAGCTCGATATGTTTAGCTATCAATGCATTATATACGCGGCTATTTTAAAAACGAAGGTTTAGATCCGGTAGGGATTAATTTTCTGCAAGCAAAAGATGAAGAAGATGAAAAAATTTAGGACGAGCTGCATGCAGAGTCCAAAAATTTTACCCCAAAATTGAAAGAGGCCGCTCTCATGTTAGCAATATGAGTAAGTTACCTCGAATCCAGCTGTTTTTTCGAATCCGTCTTGCTTTAGTTCCGAGAAGTTGAAATGCGTGACAACGGCGTTACTTCCTAGAATTACTATACTCTGTGTGTTTTTCTGGTTAAAAAAAAAAAAATCTATTGCTTTGAGACTGATTCAAAAGCATGGAAAGCTGTAAATCAGGTAYCTAAACTAGATGTGATTTTTCAGTAAATGTAATCAGGAGCAGAGAATCTATGCGAATTTGGCGCATCTTGTTTACTGAGATCGGGTGGCACTCGGCCGGTCAGGCAAACGAAACGGAGTCGATGGTAGTTCTCAGAATAACTTACTCTTTGAACTAAGTATATCTGAGCTTGAACGAGGAAGGCAGGTAAGTTTTTATTTCTAACTCCATCRTATAAGCAAATATGGCACTTGCTTGAATAAAACAGGCGTATGTGGAGACAGTATACACCAGTAAAATAGCGAAAACATGCTCATGTCAAATCATCACTTGCTTGTTTTTCCCATTTGTACATATCGGTCAATGAAGGTAAATTATCTTTTTCTTCGATTGCTTACTCTGTTTCAAGTATTTATGAGCTGTCTAGCGAATGTTATTCGTCACTTGAAGATGCTATGAAAGTGGCGAAAGAATTCTCTACCGGTTCACTCAACGTTTTTACGGTTCCGACTCGTGCCGTGTGTTTGTGGGGATATATCGATTATACGTCGCTGCCAAATGAATAAGTTTCGCTTTCGGCCTCAGTTACAAATTTGATATTGCAAACGGAATAGACATTCATGCTGTGGTGTATTACTATACCGTTCCTAAATTTTTTYTTGTTCTGATTTTAACCGTGTCGCCGGCATAATATATTGTAACGCACATTGTCGCAAAAGGTTTGTTCAGAATCGGCTTTTAGTTGGCTTTACCCCTTTGACCTTACGATTGTTAAAARCATTCTTTCTTATCAATGCTATCAAAATACGAGCTCGTTGTTTTTGAATGAGACATATATATATATATATCATTTCTAGTGGTCTTGTGGTTGCTCTCACCTGACGTTTATCAATTCCAAAATATTGGAGCTAGCTGATGAGACGAATTACCGACTTAATTATTGRGGATTATTATATATTTTACTGCCTATGAGCTCCCTTAACTCAATATTGTCAGTAATGATTTTACATGAAGTGAATAGTTGAATCGTAAAACATTTTTTATATGATTTGAGTGATGCATCTTGGAAAGGTTTATAATTACAATATGTTTAAATAAGTGTGATGCCATAGGAGGTCATTTCTTGTAGAACCATACTGAACTATTGAGTAAAGGTTCAAAGGCACTTTAATTACTGATTAAAAATACGTTAATTGACTCGTTATGTTTTCTGTCTTTTTTTTYCCGCTTTAGATCAACCAGGAAGGCAAGACAATGATGGTACTTAATACGTTTTCATTTCTTTTCCTGGTATTTGCTGGTCARTGTGTAGTGGGAGATCCCACCAGTATGCAAAAGAAACTGATACAAGGCAAATTAGGCGGGAAAGCCAATCTCACCTGCGATGTAATAACAGATTATCGAAACATTGTGCTTTTATTCAATAAAACGAAAATCAAGGAAAAGCAAGGAAAGTTCCAGAAAATGCCTAATGGGGCCTTTTTACTCAAAAATATCCAGCCTTCAGACACTGGTGTTTACAAGTACAAGCAGAAAAGTGATGACTTAACATACATGAACTCCTGCGTTATAACGCTTCAAATTATTRAGGAAACAATAATACAGAAGCCTGGATCGACCGTATCAATGTCCTGTAATGTCCCGGAGCCTCCAGAAAATTGGCATGAGGTGTCTTGGAAGAGAAAGTACTCTTCAAAGACTGTCACAATAGTGAAAAATGGGAGTGTTACTGAGTTTGCAAAGCCACAAAACTTTTTTAGAAGGATATCAGCTTTTGGGAAGAAACTCAAGATATCAAATGCGCACAAGGATGATTCTGGGAGATATACCTGCATCGTGCAACTCAAGGAAAACCGACCACGTGAAATGTATTACATCAATTTGGTTGTCAGTATGCCATCAACCATCAAGCCAACGACCAATGAAGTTATATCAACAGGTAACTCCATCACTTCCACGCCATCATATCCTGCGTCGACAACTGCGAAAAAAACAAAGAGTTGCGCAACAAGATCGGCTTCATACCTTCCACTGGCAATTATTGTCATCGTTTCGTTAGCATTTTGCTTCATGTGCATGTGCAGCTAGATTACTACATTATAACTTTAAATGTCCTTAGTGTATGTTATCATCATTCCCTGAGGTTCTAGAAACTTGCTCGCTTTAGAGCTTTCCATTGTGTATCAGCATTGTAGCAGAAGCAAAAATCTTCTTACTTTGAAAGCATCATCGAGTACTGATCGGTCCAGGTCGACAATGGAACAAGCGGATATGTCATTGAATTTGTTATAAGATCGTCGACCGGCCATGAGAAAATGCTGAACATGAGACAAGTCGTGTAAGGAAAATATGATATATCATTGTGATATCTCATATAAAGTGTTCTAAGATCGTCGACCGTTCATGAGAAAATGCAGAACATGAGACAAGTCCTATAAGGAAAATGTATTCTTAGATAAAAACAGAAACATTTAGTAGAGTTATTACTAAACGAGCTTATCCAGCTGAAATGTGTTTCCAATTTCTTCATTTGGGCGTTTTAATATTTTGTTGTCGTAACTAAATGCTATAAAAACATTTTAATGTTTTTTATAAAACATGAACGCTGAAGCATCCTTCGAAACGCAGAGAAAAAATGAAATACCGACTGGATTTTTTGATTATATTTTATTTGAAATCCAAATCAAAGCCTGTAAAGCTTTTCAGTTAGATTGTACTAAGCTCATTGTATATGTTAGATAGGCATATCATTGATTAAACTGATCAATTTGATCTTAGTAATATACTATTTAATTGTTGTTTCTTTTCTAAGACGAAAGCGAAACCTCTACTAACTTTTTTCGTTTGTGATAGAGAGGGGATTTTAGTAGAATGACCTAGTGTTTGACCTTCCCCGGAAATGATTCTGAATCTCAATGAATATCAATCTGACGCTGGCAGTCCGACGCTAGCTTCACTTTGGTAGATTTCCCAATATCTGATTAAGAATAACGGAGCTAGCTTGCTTAATAAAATTTAAAGTCAATCGTTTTAATTTCTCACGAAATGCATTTATGCAAGCCTAAGCAAATCAACAATCTGAAGCAAAGGACTAATCATGTCTGACAGAACCGCATTATTATAGTCTAACAACATGAAAGAGGCCTACCAGTTCATTTCCAATTGGTTGTTAAGAAACGAATCTACTTAAACGAATTTTTTTTTCAATGAATACTTTATTAGCACAAAGACGCGACAATTTACAATTTACAAAATATACAAAAAGCTTGTTTTGATTTTTTAACCGACCTCCTCCTCTTACATTGTGTTTTTTTAATTTACAATAACATGCATTTATTAATATTCTAAATATTTTTTTGCTGTTGCTGTTGCTAGTTTTTCTTTTCTTTTCTTTTCTTTTCTTTTCTTTCTTTCTTTCTTTTATTATTAACCGACCTCCTCCTCTACTATTTACATGTCATTTGAAAGTTTTTTTTAAAATGTTTTCTTTATCATATGTATTTTTCTTACTATGATACTTTTTATTTAAAGAAACAACGAAATAATGTATAATTACTTTCGCACTGTAAAACTACGCAAACGAATGCATTTTAATGTGGGGCTTCCCCGAACCGAAGACCAAACGAAGTCAGCCTATTGCGATAAGACCATTCAGTTCGTGTTATTCACTTTGGCCATCGTTCTTTCCGAAAAAGAAATTGCAGGAGTGGAAACTTCAGATCAAGAGTAAGTTCAGTGATTTATATATCTTTTTGCTTAAAAGTTAAATATTTGTACAAACATAGTGATAGAATTAATGTAGAATTTCAACATTTGATCGATGACCCGACGCTTCTATAGGAGATTACTGATGACCAATCGCTTTTTGCCTTCCTTAAATATTTCGATCGGTTTTAATATCGGATAAACTTTGGAATCGAAGGATCCTCATTTAACAGTTACTTAGTGCCACCTGCTTTCGAAAAGTTAGGAAATTAGAAAATCAGTCGGCTGTTAAAAAAAACTGCAAAATAAACACATTATCATTATCAGTTCAGTTGTATACTTTTGCCAGTCATTTCATTGCCCATTGTCTATACTATACTGAGAATTTATAACGCAGTAGTTGTTTTCTCTGAAATCTCTTCTGATATATAAGGAAGGGAAGAACCGAAAAAAAAAACCAGAAAAGGAAAACAATATTTATGTAACTAATGCGATAAGTAATAAGA